TCCAAATTTCCTTAGTTTTCTTACCTGCTTGCTGACTGTCCAGGTTCTTTTCTCCAGCAGCTCTGTTCAACGTCCTTCACTTAATCCACTGGGTTTGATCTTCAGATACTTTGCAGCGTTTAGATCTCCCCAGAGTTCAGCTTTCCAAAGCTCAGGTTGTCCAAGCGAGATGTGACACCTGGTCAGGCCTTTTACTGGAGCGTATTATTGTTATCTATGATTATTATCACTGTAGCTCGGCCGCGCTTCACTGTTTGATTTGACATGACGCTACTGCGCATGCGCGTGAAAAACGTTGAGACGTCACTAAACTGATTATGTTTAAATTACTATTTTTTTAAGGAAATGTTGATAATGGCACAATGAACAGATGATCACATTTTGGTGATGTTCTGGCTTACCATCTGATTATTTTCTCATAAACAGTAAATGCTTTTAAGTGTCACAGTCAGGCAGAATACTGACCTTGCGCCGTTTGTCCACTAGATGGAGCTCTGACTCCTTCAATCTACAGTCCTCACCGCAGTCTCAGTAGTACAGGAGTCAGCTACAGCCAGGCAGCATTACAGGAGTGGGCTGAGCGGAGCTACTGACAGATAAGTTCAGAAAGAAGTTGTGACTTTAACAATGACTCAGCATGTATCCTGTTTCATTTTCACTCTCAATGTTTGTCATTTACATAGGATTGCTAAAGTTGTGCTAACCTAGTTTAAGTTACTCCCTGTCTGTTTATGTTAGCAATAGCATCGCTGTAGTTATGCTAACCTAGCATAGCGTTAGCTAACAGTTTAAAAGCCAGTAAGTACCTGCAGAAATAAAGTGTTCAAAATATTTGAGAGTACAGAATGACCGTTCATCAGTCTGTCAGCTTGTTATTATTGATATAAATGTTAACTCAAGTGTTAACGGTATGTTTTGATTATCCATGAATCTGATCAAATGAATGCAGGACTTTAACATTGGCTGGAAATCACAATATACTGGAAATGAGCTGCTTAGCGGAGGTCTGTGCTCTCCAAGTGCTTTTCTAGTCTATCTGTATTTTTGAAATGCAAAGTGAATCTATTGATTTACATGAATCCTCTGAGCAAATCACTCCACAGACTCTAATGTTGTGATGGGACACTGTGGACAGCATCAAACGTTTTACTTATTAAATAAAATATTACTCATTGTGTTTCATTAAACCGTCCAGCTTTATATCAGAATTAAAATAGATAGAGACACAGATTTTGAGTAAATAAACTACAGGCTAAACAGTCAAACTACATTTCTCCTCCTGTATGTGTGTCTGGATGTAACTTTTGCTGGATGTTTTCACAGATTGATCATGTTTCTGCTCTTACACACCAACTTGTTGCTCTTACATGACCACAGTCAGCGTCAACTGTACTGAAGTTAAATGACGCTTTTAAACATTTACTTCTATCTGTCATCATGTCTCAGAGCAGCTCAGTGGCATCACGGACACAGTAGAAGCAAACATGGAAGACTGTCCACAGGTCAAGTAAAAACTGAACAGCATTTTAGATAAAAAGTGTCCAACTCAGAACATCAACCACATTTTCTCTTCTCTGCTTTGACTAACATGCTTCTCTTTGGCAGCTTCTATGCCTTTCACTGTATAAAAGTAAAATTAATTGTAGATGTGGACTTCATTGTTGTTTTCAAATCTGGTGACAGTTTTATTGAACAGTAACTTTATGTGTGAAAGAAAAAAACAACTATAAAAATGAACATGTAGCCATATTTATGATACTAAATCCAAAACAGGAAGACAGTAATTTAGGTTACACAGAAGATAATCAGGGTTAGGGTTAGTTACTCTTGCCACACATTCATTTATTACAATAATAACATTTGGGTAACATATTCAACTCTTGTTTAATGCTGGAAATATGTTTATACAGTTTGATGCAATTAGTAAAAAATTAACGAAATAAAAACTACACTGATTAAAAAACCTTTTTGGTGTCGTAAAATAGATTAACTGTCATAATTGTTACATAGTAATATTAAGACTCAGTGAGAACTACAATTTAAATATATCCACATTTTATTCATGTAATAAATCGTCATAGTTTGTAAATATTTTATTGTCACTACACATTAACCTAGAAATAATAAATAAACTACAACCAGTTACAAGTGTTCTGCGTATGGATCTTCAGACTAAACAAGATACACGCTATTTGGGTCATGGAGACGTTGGACTCACCGAGATCAACCCTGATCATCTCCTGTGTAACCGAAATTAGTGTCTTTCTGTATTGGATTTAATATAATAAATATAGCTGTGTTTTTTCTATTTAATATTGTACACAAAGGGCTCCATGCATACATACACAGCACAAATCCCTAAGCTAAATAATCCCTGTTCCCCTGCAGCTCCATCTGTCTACACGTGGCATGTTTCATACCCTCATATCAGTGATCCTTGCACATGTCTGGTCTTGTGTGTGAATAATGCTTCAGTGTTGGGACAATATTAATTGTTTACAGATCCAAAGCGTTGAGAGGACATGTGAAGCTGTTGTCCTTGGCCTCGTACGGAATCTTGAAGGGAAAGAAAAGGAACTTTGTGAAGATTGTCTGGTAAATCATGACTTTATGTATGTATGTATGTATGTATGTATGTATGTATGTATGTATGTATGTATTTGTTTGTAATGTTATTATTTAAAGTTAAATCTAAAGCAAGCCAAGTGAAGGAATGCAGATGTCTCTTTAGAATAGAATGGAAATTCTTTTATTTTTATGGCAAATTTGCGATGCAATTAATCAACAAC